TTTTCCCTTACACACCCACACGCCCACACACACAGCTGTGCCTCTGAAAACACTGCTGAGTTCTCTCTCAGTCTACTCAGTTGAACGCCTTTTAATTCTCCTCACTGAATCCCTCACCAGGACTTAGAATGCCTGGGTCCAAGTTCTAGCTCAACACAATTAATTAGTTGTGTGATTTTTGGATAAATCATTGACTCCTGGTTTCCTGAGGATCAGTGGGCAAAACAAATGTAAAGTGTAAATAGTGATTTGAGACTCCATCCTCTCCTGTCTCCAGTCGGTGGTTTGTACTTCTCAGGTGCTGCTGTTTCTTATTCCAGTTTAGTCCTAGAGCCATTTGCTTGCCTAGGGACAAAAAGCATATTTGGCCTGGCACAATGGCTCACGCCCAACACTTTGGAAGGGAGAGGCAGAGCACTTGAGCCCAGTAGTTCAAGATCAGCTTGGGGCTGGGCGTGATGGCTCACACTTATAATCCCAGTGCTTTGGGAGGCAAGATGTGTGGATCACCTGAGGTCAGGAGTTTGAGACCAGCCTAGCCAACATGGTGAAACCCCATCTCTACTTAAAAAAATACAAAAATTAGCTAGGTGTGGTAGTATATGCCTGTAATCCTAGCTACTCTGAAGACTGAGGCAGAAGAATTGTTTGGACCCGGGAGGCAGAAGTTGTAGTGAGCTGAGATCATGCCACTGCACTCCAGCCTAGGTGACAGAGGTAGAGACCCTGTCTCTTAAAAAAACAAAACAAAAAAATGCCGGGTGTGGTGGCTCAAGCCTGTAATCCCAGCACTTTGGGAGGCCGAGGCGGGTGGATCACGAGGTCAAGAGATCAAGACCATCCTGGTCAACAAGGTGAAACCCCGTCTCTACTAAAAATACAAAAAATTAGCTGGGCATGGTGGCGCGCACCTGTAATCCCAGCTACTCAGGAGGCTGAGGCAGGAGAATTGCCTGAACCCAGGAGGCAGAGGTTGCGGTGAGCCGAGATCATGCCATTGCACTCCAGCCTGGGTAACAAGAGCGAAACTCCGTCTCAAAAAAAAAAAAAAAGGCAAGATCATGGTTACCAGAATAGTAACTGGCTGCGAGGGGGCAAAAGGCGAGGCTTTGGCAAGTTGAGAATATTCTATTTCTTTATCTGTGTATTGGGCACAGACACATGAGTATGTTCAGTTTATGAAAATTTATCTGGCTGGGCACAGAGAGTCATGTCTGTAATCCTAGCACTTTGGGAGGCTGAGGGGGGTGAATTGCTTTGAACTCAGGAGTTTGAGGCCAGCCTGGGCAACGTGGTGAAACCATGTCTCTACAAAAAACTAAAAAATGAGCCAGGCCTGGTGTCGTGTCCCAGCTATTTGGGAGGCTGGGGCTAGAGGATGGCTTGAGCCAGGAAGTGGAGGTTGCAGTGAGCTGGGATTGTGCCATTGTACTCTATCCTGGGCAACAAAGTGAGACCCTGTCTCAAAAAATAAAATTAGAAAAAATTCATCAAGCAGTACACTTATATTTAAACTTTTTCTGTATATTACACTCCAATAAAAAGAAAACAGGCTGGGCTCAGTGGTTCATGCCCGTAATCCCAGCACTTTGGGAGACTGAGGCAGGCAAATCACCTAAGTCAGGAGTTCAAGACCAGCCTGTCCAACATGGTGAAACAACGTCCCTACAAAAATAGAAAAATTAGCCAGGCATGATGGCTTGTGCCTGTAAACCCAGCTACTCGGGAAGCTGAGGTGGGAGAATCTCTTGAACCAGGGAGGTGGAGGTTGCAGTGAGCCGAGATCGCTCCATTGCACTCCAGCCTGAGTGACAGAGCCAGACTCCATCTCAAAAAAAAAAAAAAAAAAAGAAATGTACAAAAGATCATATAGGGGAAAGTCTCCCTTTCATTTCTGTTCCCCAGACTCCCAGTTTTTCTTTTGGGAGACAATGTTACCTTTCTTGTGTATTGTTCCAAAGCTTTTCTTTTTTCCTTTTTTTTTTTTTTTCCAAGGCACAGTCTTGCTCTGTCACCCAGGCTGGAGTGCAGTGGTGCAATCTTGGCTCACTGCAACCTTGCCTCTCGGGTTCACTTGGCTAATTTATATATATATATTTTTGAGACAGAGTCTCGCTCTGTCGCCCAGGCTGGAGTGCAATGGCATGATCTCAGCTCACTGCAACCTCTACCTCCTGGGTTCAAGCGATTCCCTTGCCTCAGCCTCCTGAGTAGCTGGGATTACAGGCGTGCACCACAAGGCCAGTTAATTTTTAAATTTTTAATAGAGATGGGGTTTCACCTTGTTGGTCAGGCTGGTCTTGAATTCCTGACGTCGTGATCTGCTCACCTCCAAAAGTGCTGGGATTACAGGATGAGCCACCATGCCCAGCCAATGTTTGTATTTTTTTTCAGCCATGCATGAGCATTGTAGTTTTAATAGAGCCTGGTTTTCACCATGTTGGCCAGGCTGGTCTTGAATTCCTGACAAGTGATCAGCCCACCTCGGCTTCTGAAAGTGCTGGAATTACAGGTCTGAGCCACTGCACCTGGCCAACCTTTTTGGTGTATAAATTTGCATAGTTAAAAAAACTTGCATAGTTAAGGCTGGACAAGGTGGCTCAGGCCTGTAAGCCTAGCACTCTGGGAGTTTGAGGCAGGCAGATCACCTGAGGTCATTAGTTCAAGACCAGCCTGGCCAACTTTAGTAGAGTGAAACCCATCTCTAATAAAAATACAAGAATTAGCCAGGCATGGTGGCACACACCTGTAGTCCTAGCTACTGGGGAGGCTGAGGCATGAGAATTGCTTGAACCTGGGAGGTGGAGTTTGCAGTGAGCTGAGATCGTGCCACTGCATTCCAGCTTGGGAGACAGAACAAGACTTCATCTCAAAAAACAAAAACAAATAAACAAAAAAAGATAGTCTTCCAGAGGAGTGTGGGGTTGCAATACTGAAACTAACTCCTGTAAGGAGTGGTGAAGTCAACCTCCAGTCAGCTGTATTGATGCAAAGGAGAAAATATCCTAGCTGAGATAAAGATTCAGACACCAGGGATATCTTTGATTCTCACCAAGGGCAGCCTGAAGTTCCTATTGCATTAATGCAGAAATTAGGTGAGGTCAGGGATTGCTTTTATTTTATTTTACTTTATTTTTTTTTTGAGACGGAGTTTTGCTCTTGTTACCCAGGCTGGAGTGCTATGGTGTGATCTCGGCTCACCGCAACCTCCGCCTCCTGGGTTCAGACAATTCTCCTGCCTCAGCCTCCTGAGTAGCTGGGATTACAGGCACGCTCCACCATACCCAGCTAATTTTTTGTATTTTTAGTAGAGACGGGGTTTCACCATGTTGACCAGGATGGTCTCGATCTGTTGACCTTCGTGATCCACCCGCCTCAGCCTCCCAAAGTGCTGGGATTACAGGCTTGAGCTACTGTGCCCGGCCCAGGGATTGCTTTTAAAATCCTAGAAGGCTGGGCACAGTGGCTTGAACCTGTAATTCTAGCACTTTGGGAGGCTGATGCAGGAAGTTCGCTTGTGCCCAGTGGGGTCACCTTGGGTGATTACACAGCCAGTACATCAAGACAGGGGAATTGCAATGGCAAAAGAGTAATTCATGCAGAGTCGGTTGTGCGGGAGACTGGAGTTTTATTATTACTGAAATCAGTCTCCCTGGAGCATTCGGGAATTAGAGTTTTTTAAAGATAATTTGGTGGGTAGGGGCTTAGGGAGTGGGGAGTGCTGATTGATCAGACTGGAGATGGAATCATAGGGAGTTGAAATGAGTTTTTCTTGCTGTCTTCTGTTCGTGGGTGGAATGGCAGACCTGTTTGGCCCAGATTACCAGTCTGGGTGGTGTCACCTGATCCATAGAGTGCAGGGTCTGCAAAATATCTCAAGCACTGATCTTAGGTTTTACAATATTCTCAGGAATTTTGTAAACATTCTCAGGAATATTATAACAGTGATGTTATTCTCAGGAGGAATTTGGGGACATTTAGACTCTTGGAGCCTGAGGCTGCATGACCCCTAAATTGTAATTTCTAATTTTGTAGCTAATTTGTTAGTCCTGCTAAGGCGGAATGGACCCCAGGCAAGATGGAGGTCTTTTAGGGACAGGGTTGTTATCAATTTTGTTTCAGAGTCAAAACATTAACTGAATTCTTTCCCAAAGTTCTGCCTAAGCTAAGAAATGAACAAGGACAGTTTAAGGATTAGAAGCAAGATAGAGTTGGTTAGGACTGATTTCTTTCATGATCATAATTTCCTCAGTTATAATTTTTCAATGGCTGTTTCACCAGGAGTTTGAGACCAGCCTGGGCAACATAGCAAAACCCCCAGCTCTACAAAAATAAAAAAAAAAAAGTATCGTGCACCTGCAGTCTCACTTACTCAGGAGGCTGAGGCAGGAGGCCTCAGCCCAGGACTTTGAGGCTGCAGTGAGCTGTGATTACACCACTGCATTCCAGCCTGGGCAACAAAGTGAGACCCTGTCTTACCAAAAAAAAAAAAAAAAAAAAAAAAAAAAAAAAAAAAACAGAAAAAGAAAAAGCATCACAACTCACAGCACCCTCCTGTTGTCTGAAGGCCCCTCCCTTGGGTCTCTCAGGACTGGCTCCAGGGCTTCAGCCTTGGAACTAGTTGTGGACTTCTTTGGGTCCCTTTGGAATGTTTATCTTTGGCTTGGAATAATGCAACATACCAAATCCAGCTTTGCCTTCCCTATGTCCCTTTTTGTCCCCAAATGACTCCAAGGCTGTACACCGATCCTGAACCCTTTGCTGCACTTGCCCTAGTGAAAATAAAAGGTCTGCAAAGGCTGCGTCATTCCCGAATGAGGTGCGGAGTCGGATGTCGTTTCTGTGGGGAATTAAAATTAGCTACACTGGAAATGAATTACAGGATACAGCGAGTAAGGAGGGAGAGAGAGGGAGGCAGATGAGATTCCTTTCACGTGAACATCCTGGCCTGAGAGGCAACCTTTACAGGGTCTTCAGGCTGCAAGCGACAAATAGATGAGGATTGTGGGTTGCTCACGCGTAGGTGGCAGCTCAAGTTAACCCCAGGAGTGGTGCCAGTCAGCAGATAACTTGCAAACGAATGTATTCTCCTCCTCCTCCGAGGATCTGAGCCTCACGAAACACGCTCTTTCTTTTTGTCCCTCCCGCAATCGAGTCGCCTTCCGTCCAGCCCGGGTCTCCTCCCCGCCCGGATCCCTCCCCTTCCCGGTCCCCAGCCCCCTCCCGGGCTCCTCTCTGTCTCCCCCTCCCGGACGGCGTCCTAGCTCTGCCGGGCCCTACTCGCCGTCTGCTTGTGAATGAGACGCTCAGTTTCTCAATGGAGCCGCGGGGGGCTCGGGCGGCCGCAGGGCGGCCGCAGCGTTGGCCTTGAGCCCGGAGGGGGGCGCGTTTCCCTCGCTCGCTCCCCGCTCCCTCCCTCTCGCTGCGGCCGCCCGCGAGGAGCCGGGCTGAGGCCGCCGCGCAAGTCGCAGGGCCAGCGTCCGCGAGGACGGCCCGGCTGGGCGGCCCCGAGCGCCGTGGCGCCGTGGAGGACCGGGAGTGCGGCCTTCGGGAAATTTCTGCCGACCCTTCGCTCCCGGCTCTAAAAGTTCCTGATTTCCGATTTCCTTTTAAATCCCGAGTGGCTGTTAGCTCTTCGCCTGCACTTTTTGTCCCCGGGGAGTTAGAGGAGGAGTGTGAGGAAAGGAGCGAATAATATAAAAAAGGATTTTCTCCCGGAAGAGAGAGGCAGTTCGGAGAGATTTTTCTTAGAGAAGCTGAAGCGGCGTTTGCGGGCGCCGGGCTCTGCCGGCCCCACCATGCGCGAACCGGCCCCGGGCTGCTGAGGCGCGGGGACGCGGAAGCGGAGGTCGAGCGTGCTGGGCTCCCGCGCTCGCGAGCAAGTCCTGTCCGCCGGGCGACGGCGGCAGTGGCGGCGGCAGCGGGGGAATGGAGCCCGCGACCGCGCCCCGGCCCGACATGGCGCCGGAGCTGACCCCGGAGGAGGAGCAGGTAAGCGGGCCCGAGGCCGCCGCGGTGGGTGTGTCCGGGCCTCCGAGGCCTACGCCAGCCTCTGCCTCCCCAGCCCCGGCTTTCCGCAGTCCCCAGGCCCGCGGCGCCCCCGCCCCTGTGCCCGGCCCGCGGGCCTCCCCCACCGGCGACCGCGCCCCAGGCCTCCACCCCCTCGTCCGGGGACCCTCCGGACCCTGCTCCCGTCCCCGCCGCTTCTGTCCCCGAGGCTGACGGGCCTCCTACGGTCCCCTCCGCACCCCACCCCCCATTCCAGGGGCAAAGTTCCTTGGTTCCAGGGAACCGCTACTTGCTCCCGGCCCTTCCACTCCCTGGTAAATGTTTTCCGTGAGGTTTGTGGCTTTTGAAGGGCAGGAAAAAACCCATTTTGGGGGGTGCTTCCTGTGGGGATCATCTCCCTTCTCGAGGAGGGGCTGAGAGTACTGGATGCATAGATGCCCTAGTTTTTCAGAGGCGCCTCTTAGGTTTCTCAGGCCCACTTGGGCAGGTTCTGGAAGATCCAGCCCTTCTTGTGCTCCTCAAGTCTCTGGCCTTGACCTCCCTATTCAGCTATCGCAGACGGGGCGCATCTCCTTACCCCGCTTCCCTACTCTCGTCTCATCTGACTGTCTCCATCTTTCTGAAGCTTATATTGAGCTCTATTGTTCCTTAAAAGCCTATGACCTTTAGTTCTCAGAAGAAAGTGGTTTGCTATTTCATTTTGGGGGCCTGGTAACTTTCCCTCCCTCACATTCTAGCTGCGAAGACAGGGACCACTCCTGAGGAAGATGGGAAGGTCTGTTAGCTTAGATTGGGATCCCTACGGGCTTTTCTCTGCCTCTTCCTTGGCTCTGCCCATACCCCGCCATAGCTATGCTCGAATATAGCTATAGTCTGATTCCACGTTATAAATAAAAAAATTAAAATAAACATGAAAAAAGAAAAAAGCGAGCCATGCTGGCAACCCATTTCAAGCTCCACAGCCCTTGTTTCCGAGGCCCACATCCGCCAGCACAGCCTCCAGTGCAAAGACAATCTAGTTTAACAAACTATTATTGGCTAATGAGCTTGTTGACCTGATTTTTAAAAGTCCTTGTCTTTTCTCCTCATTTGTGGGGATGACATTTTTAATATTTGGCCTCAGGCCACGGTTTCGTGTTTCGACACCTGGTGATAAAATCAGTATGGGCAAAAAAATTTTTAAAGAATTCTGCTTTGTACAAGCAGGGGCAATGAATGTCCTGGTAACTGCAGTTAATAAAATGCTAGTCAGACCCTAGTGCAAGCAGGTGGCCAAGGAACCCATCCTGCCAGAATTGGAAGTGCTTCAGTAGTAAGATAGGATGTGTTGGCTGATTTTAAAGGGACAAATCTCTTTCTTTCATCCTTTTTCTTGGATCAGTCAGATTTCTAAGACTTAAAGGCATCAGTATTCTATGTAAATGGCATCGGTTGCAAATTTGAAAACTTTAGTTTTCAAATGTCAATACTATGTCAATACTGTCAATACTTTAATATTTACCAGGAAAAATAAATATTAAAGTATTGACAGTATTGACATAGTGTTGGCTTTATTCTGTATATAGTGCATACACATGTATACAGTTCTGTTGTTTAGTAAAAACCTTATCTTTTACACTCAAGTGATTGTGATGGGCAAGAACAAGGACTAGGATGGAAACAGCAAAATATGTATTAAAGCCAAGAGATTATGTATGTGTGTTTTTAAAAATCTTATCTCTTTGTTTCTACAAAATGTTATTTTACAAGCATTTCTAAATGTTGAAACAAGCAAAAGCAGCATAGTTCTAATTATGGTAATGCCTCCCTGGTGTTATCATATTTTAGTTCAATATGACATGAGTACTCTTTTTTATTTTTTGAGATGAAGTCTCGCTCTGTCATCCAGGCTGGAGTGCAATGGCGTGATCTCAGTTTACTGCAACCTCTGCCTCCCGGGTTCAAGCGATTCTCTTGTCTCAACCCCCTGAGTAGCTGGGATTACCAGGCAGCGCCACCATGCCTGGCTAATTTTTGTTTTTTTAGTAGAGATGGGGTTTCACCATGTTGGTCAGGCTGGTTTGGAGCTCCTGACCTGGTGATCCACCCACCTTCGCCTCCCAAAGTGCTGGGATTACAGGCGTGAGCCACCGTGCCTGGCCAAGACTATAACTATAAAGAGTTCTTTAAGGCCGGGCGCGGTGGCTCAAGCCTGTAATCCCAGCACTTTGGGAGGCCGAGGCGGGTGGATCACGAGGTCAACAGATCGAGACCATCCTGGTCAACATGGTGAAACCCCGTCTCTACTAAAAATACAAAAAATTAGCTGGGCATGGTGGCGCATGCCTGTAATCCCAGCTACTCAGGAGGCTGAGGCAGGAGAATTGCCTGAACCCAGGAGGCGGAGGTTGCGGTGAGCCGAAATCACGCCATTGCATTCCAGCCTGGGTAACAAGAGCGAAACTCCGTCTCAAAAAAAAAAGAGTTGTTTAAAATTTTTTTTTTTTTTTTGCGACAGAGTTTTTGCTCTGTTGCCCAGGCTGGAGTGCAATGGTGCGATCTCAGCTCACTGCAACTTCTGCCTCCTGGGTTCAAGCGATTCTCCTGCCTCAGCCTCTCGAGTAGCTGGGATTATGGATGCTCGCCACCATACCTGGCTAATTTTTTTATTTTTAGTAGAGACAAGATTTCACCTTGTTGAATTTGGCCAGGCTGGTTTCAAACTCTTGACCTCACATGGTCCGCCCACCTTGGCTTCCTATAAAGTGCTGGGATCATGGGCGTGAGCCACCATACCCAGCCAAGAGTGCTCTTAAAAGAGTTTTTAAAAAAATGTTTAAATTAAACAGCAGCAAGTAAGTGTTAGCCTTATCAAAGTAGTCCTCATGGGAAATGACACATTCATTCCATAATGCTACCCTATTGTGCAAATCAATTTTAACATTCATTTGGTGTTGATTTCAAAGCTTGTGGCAGACTCTTTGAAATTTCTTCAGGATGGGAAAATTCTTGTACTTTTGAGAGTCAGTCTGATTTCTGTAAATAGCAAAAAATCTTTTAGAGCCTTATTTAACATAGGGGATCAAACTGGGTTTACACATTTTCATGCAAAGGTGTAGTGGACTTAGGCCCTTTTTGGCCTGTGTGAACAGCCTTGAAGACATTTCTGAAGCAGAATACCTCCTGAGTGATATCTCCTTCTGTACACTCATATGAATCAGAAACCCAGAAGTCTTAGACACTGCTGTCCCTCTGCCCTTGTATACAATACAGTGTTAGATTTTCCTGAATATCTCTTGAATTCATTGGCTTCCTTCTACCATAGCTGCCATCACCCTGGTCCAAGATACTGTCCTGACAGGACTTTTGTTTTACACCTGATCCATCTGTATTCCAGAATGCAGAAGCCAGAGTCCTGTTGAAAATCTGATTTCATCTTCCCTTCAGCCTGCCTGCCACGAAAAGAAGTATTCAAAAAATCTTTAGTGGCTTTTTTTTTTTTGGAGACAGGGTCTCACTTTGTCACCTAGGCTGGAGTCCAGTGGTATAATCACGGCTCATTACAGCATCGACCTTCTGGGCAAGCAGTCCTCCTGCCTTAGCCTCCCAGAGCCTTAGGATTGCAGGCTTCATCATTGCTCTTGAGATCAAATTATAACTTTTTTTTTTTTTGATACCGAGTTTCACTCTTGTTGCCCAGGCTGGAGTGCTATGGTGTGATCTCGGCTCACTGCAACCTCCACCTGCCAGGTTCAAGCAAGTCTCCTGCCTCAGCCTCCCGAGTAGCTGGGATTACAGACATGTGCCACCACACTTAGCTCATTTTGTATTTTTAGTAGTGAAGGGGTTTCTCCACATTGGTTAGGCTGGTCTCGAAGTCCCTACCTCAGGTGATCTGCCCACCTCAGCCACCCAAAGTGCTGGGATCACAGGCATGAGCCAACACGCCTGGCCCCAAATCACAACTTTTGAATGAATAAAGGCTATATATCTAGGCCCTTGTGCAGCCTAGATTCTCACCCTTGTCTCTGCTCCATGCACACTGGCCTTATAGTCCTGCTTTCTTGCCGTTTTTCTTCTTGCTTATAGGATCTTTGCAGGAGCTGCTTTCCTCCATCTGGAAACACCTCCCTTTGTTAACTCCCCCTTCATCCTTCAGCTCTCAGGTTTCCTTGATTTCAGTTAGATTAGATTCTGACCTAATAGGTTCTCAGAGCACCATTTACTCGTCCTTCACATCACTTATCACAAGTTAACACTTATTTGTGTGATTACATGACTGCAAGCAAGCTCTATGTGGGTTGGGACTATTTTTGCTTTTGCTCCCCATCATATGTACATTGCCTACCATAATGACTGACATAATGACTGGCACTTAAGGAATGCAGATTGAATGAGGAGTAGCTGTACTCCTGATTTGTATACCAACAGCATCATCTTCTTCAGAGTGGCTCATAAAAATAAGGACATCGCACAGTTTGATTTTTTTTTTTCCCTTCAAATGGCAATATGTACTTTGATTTATATGCTGTACATGTGTTGATACAGTTTTTGAAAGTTATGATTATTTCGTAGTCTCATTTTCTGTCTAGGCATTTGTTGAACTGATACAAATCCTCATTCATAACTTTGATGTTTCTTGTTTTTTCAGCTCCTCAATAATTATAAAGCCTTCAATTGGGTTACAAGAACATATATGTTGTTCTTGCCTTTAAGAAGCTTATATGAGTAACAGCCATAACAGTATCTTGTCTTAACTCCTGTTTTGAGTCAGGCTCTGTGGTGGGCATTTCACATGAAATTAATCCTCCCTCCCAAAATTGGAATTACTGCCCTCACTTTGCAAAAGGGAAGGAAATTGCCCAAGGTCATAGTTAGCAAGTGATGGAGCCATGATTTCCACCCAGGTCTAGGTTTTCTGCCTTCACTGACGGTGTTTCCTCTATTACACTACATTACTTCCCAAGAAGCCATTAGCCAATTTACTTAGATGCCTAAGTGGG